GAAAGAAAAGAAAAAAGAAAGAAAAAGAGAGAGAGAGACGGAGAAAAAAAAGAAAAGAAAGATCTTACCATCTTCATATATTTCTTTAAAAATCTAGCTTTTACTTCAAATATAGTGAATGTCTATTAGCATTTATTGATAGCTGGGCCCATACTCTGCATCCGGGATACTTATATTATTGGTAATTACTTTTACTTATCAAGTATTCTTTCTATGCTCAGCTTATGTTCAGGAGCATACAGGTAATCCTCCACTTACAACAGTTAACTTAGGGACTGTTTAAAGTTACAACAGCTCTGAAAAAAATGTGACTTACGACCATTTCCCACAATTACGACCTTTGCAGCACACACAAACTCACCCATGATCACTTGATCAAAATTCAGATGCTTGGCAACTGGTTCATATTTATGACCATTATTGTGTCCCAAAGTCACGTGATCACCTTTTGCGAACTTCTGGCAAAGCAAAGTCGATGGGGAAGCCAGGTTCACTTAACAGCCATGTTGCAAACTCATCAACTGCAGTGATTCACTTTACAACCATGACAAGAAAAGTCGTAAAATGGGGCAAAACTCACTTAACAAATATCTCACTTAACACCATAATTTGGTCATAAATTGAGGATTCCCTGTATTGTCTTACAAAGAGTCCTTGCTGAATTCAAATCAAACAAATCAGTTAATTTAAACGCAAACTTATCTAAAGCTCAAAATGCACTGTTAAAAATCCTTGGAAGATCATGTTTCTATGGTATCAGCCTCCAGAATATATTCAGTTAATATAATCAAGAGAAATAAGTGCCTCTTTTGTCAGGAATAAATATGAATGCTAATAATATCTCCTTATGTCTTTGCAGCACTTTTACAATCAGTAATAGCTGGCGATTTTCTAAGAGTAAGTAAAAGATTTATCGTACTGTATATCTCTGTCATGGTATGTGTTGAGTTACTAACCATTTGTTTTTATGCAACATATGGTGACATTCAGGATACCTCCACATCACTATTTTGCCCTACATTGGAATCAATTCCAGTTCTGTTTGAATGCATAATATTGTATATTTTGTTGTGTTGGAAGAAATGTCCTTCTGGGTTCAGTTCCTAGTGGGGAAAAAGACACTGGAAACATGGAGGCTGCTTGGAAAGATGGTTTAATGGTGGACAGGGCCACATGGTTTGAGCTCCTGAACAGAAAAGCGGGATCACATGCTTCCAGATGTCGGGTGAAGAAGAAAAAGGACAGAGATGCTGAAAGCCCCTG